AAGAAGAAGGGTGGGATATCAATTTAACATATCAAATCAAATTTTAATAACGTATATAAATTAAGAATCTACCAGTTAGAAACACCTTGGAAACTCTCAGCAGAAAAATATTTCTGGTAGCTGAAATAATAATTATTTGCTCTTTTAAAAAACTGTCATACAAATTATGTTCTTTCTAAGATACACTCAAATAAGAACTTTATTAGTGTGAATTGAAAAAGTGTCATACATGGGCAAAGATGTTTTTCAGGGTAGTCAGGTGATTATTAATATTTCAAAAATTACCTTATATAAGTATTTCTAATTGCCTAAATACTATAACAGAACTGAGTAGAACCTAGAAACAGAATGGAGCACAACATATTTCTAGGGCAATCTTTCCTAACTTGCTGTAATATGGTTCAGAACTTCTGTAAGGAAAATATCACTGAGAAATGCACAGAAAGTATAATCTGATACATTTGGAGAATATTTTCCTGAAAAAGACACTCTGAGGGATAAAAAATATATGTCGTACTGTAACAAAATCAAAAAGTGTTGAAGTGCCCTCTGCAAAAGAGAACATTCATTATGGGAAACCCATTACATCCAGTGAATTGTAGTATTTCAGGGCTAAATAAATAAATAAATACAAGCATGCAAACGTGAGGCCATTCTAAAATACGCAAAGATTATTGGTTATCTCAGATTCTGGGAACCAAAAATATATCAGAAATATCCTGAAGAGTATTCCTAGCATAAGCCTCATAATACAGGAATTGGAACCACTCGTCTTCCAAACCTTCATAAACAGTAGCCCCCTGCAGCCCTTCAAGATTAAGGATGCTGCGAAATGCATTTTATTGGCATCTAGAGAGGTACATATTCCCTACTCTGCTACAACTGAGTAGTAAATTTGGGCTTTTAGATTAACTACCTGTATTGTTTCATGAGTTAGAGAATGTGGATCAGGTGCCTCAGGTTTTGTTTGTTTTATTGTATTTGGTGTTTATTATTGTCATGAGCCATTCAGAATTGTGTTTTACAAGATGGGAAACGAAAAAATGTTTTAAATAAATATTTACAACATAGGATTTCCTTATAAGAAATGTTCCATACCAAAAAACCAGAAAACATTACTGTGTCAGAAATGCTGCACACAAGTAGTAGGATTACAGGATAGCATCTTCATGTTTATAAACTACTGTTATTAATACCTGGGAGATTAATTAGCAAAATGAGATAAAAGCTTTATTTCCATCTGTCTTTCAGTTTAAGTCCAATCACCAACTTCTGTTCTATGATTTATTCAAATATTAAAAAGTTCTAATTCTAGTTTGGCCTCAGTTACATTTCTAATTATAATAAATTAAAATTAAAATTGAGAGATCATTTAAAATAATATGTTATGAAATTGGTCCCAAATCAACTCTTAGTTGGTAACTAATATCTCTCTGTACAGCATACCATGGGTACAGGCGGATTATATTGCCAAGCTATAGGCATGCTGAGGCCATATAGTATGAAGCAAGCATGCAATTTTCTAAAACAAGACCTGAAAACAATTTATGGAGTCCTAAAGGCAGTACATATTAAAATTGCAAAAATAGTCAGGCATAGCTTTGTCAAAAAAAAAAAAAGAAAAGTAAAAATATTCCTTTGCTGTACCTTAAAAACTTTCTAAAACAGATGTCCAATTAACTCCAAGCAGAAACAATTAATTGTAATTGAATAAATATATACACGTATTCTGATTATCTATTACCCACATCTGGAAATTGCAAATAATTTCTTGACTAAAAATATATTTAATTATGCAATATTCCTGAGGGGACTGTGTTTACGTGCTAAATTCATGAGAAGATTTTATAACTATTTGCATCTGTTTCTCTCAAGAGGTAAAAAAAAAGAATCAGAAATCTAAGGAAGACTTTGTGGTACTTCAAAGTCTTCCTTGGATTTCTGAACATTTTCATCTCCTGAGAATTCACATATAAAATGGGGAAAAAAAGCCCGAAACAACCAAACCCAAGGACTTTAATTGAAAATTATTATTATCTACCATTTTAAACTGAAGTTCCTAGAAAGTGCTGCCTTTGTGTAACCCTGTAAGAAGACACTCACTTTCCTTGCTGTTTTTGTCCTATGTCTGCAGCTGTGCTTAAATCCTGTTCCTTCCCTAGGGAGGGATGCAAAACATGACATATCATTCTACACCTTGTTTTTGCCTCTTCACTGGCAAATCTTCTCTCAAGGCTCCGCATCTGTCTTTACAAAAATAAGTGAATTAATACAGACACATGGAGTCTCTCCTAAAAATAAGAGAAGATGTTCCAATTCAGATTTGAATAAAATTATTGTTTCATTTAGTTCAAAGTCTTTACAATTCCTGGTAATTGTACTCATGTTTGGGGCAGGCCTATTTTCTAGCTCTACCAAGAAATGAGAGGGAATTAATCTGGAACCACTATAGATACTATTCTTGTCTCTCTGTGTGCTTGATAAGAGTCAATCCTAACTTAATGGCACATAATCAGTTGGCCTCATCAGTGTATAATACTACCAAAAGCAACAAGCCAAATCTGACATAATGTTTTTAGTGAGTAGATGCAGGAGGCTGTGCAGAAATTCTAAGCTCAGTCCTATATGGGAGCCCTTGTACTGAATGCTTTCACACAGTCTTATCTTATACCATATATATATGACATATAGGAATACAATTTGGATTTTAGAAGATGCACCCCATCCTGCTGTGACTATGGCTCTTGAAAGTGGAGAAAATAAACTCAGCCATTTGATCAGAAGCATTAAAGCAGTAAATTCAGGTAGGCTTGATTGCTTGATAACCTGCAAATAAAAACATTATCTTGAGCAATCAGTGAACACATGTAATGTGGATGACATAATTCATTTTTTGAAGAAAACTGTTTTGCTCAGACATAGTTTAATGCTGAACATGGTACCAGAAGGGAAGATTACATATAATTCAAGAATAGTAATCAATAGGATACTTCTGCAATCAAGATATAGGGAAGATGACAAATTTCATCCTCCCTTTACCCATTATCTCAGAAGAATTGTATGTTTTATTGCTATTTGCTAGCATATCAATGCACTATTAGAAAAGAAAACACAAGAAGACCAAAACAAGTAGAAATTCAGATGTGGACAGGTGTAGTTGATAATGTTATACTTTCTTTTGAGATAGGCAGTTTTCAGACAGAGATAAAATAACTACAAATTTAAAAAAAACTTTAAAAAACAGAAAACAAAATAATTTGCACATTATTATAATTTGCACAAGCCCTAGAACTTGAGTCTAGCATATGATACTGTCCCTGTGAATGGGGAGAAAACCCTTGGAGCGTTGAATGAGAACAATGGCATCCTTACAGAGAAAACATAAAGTGCTATTTATCTGCTGCAACAATCCCCTTGCTCCGACTTTCAGTTTTCTGGCTTTGGATAATGAAGTGTCTACAGCAAGCTGCTGACATTTGGTTTGTTACTAGTTCCAGACAGATAACATTACTTCTGCTTATTGCCATTTCCCCTGCAGATAAAAGTGGGAAGTAAGTTATATGTTTTCATTTTATAACTCCCCCCACCCCCCATCCCATCTTATGATCATAAACCATTAAGGAGCTATCAGTCAATTAGAAAATCTAATCTGGGCTCAAAGAAAAGACGAGCCAACAATATTCTTTATCTAAGAGTAATACATCCAAACTAAGGGAATCGGTGAAAACAGTAACTTGAAAATTAGACAGTATTAGGCATAAAACCATTCCATGACAATCTCAGGCTAATTCTTCGAGCTATATATCAAATTACATATGCAGCCACAGAAGATATGCGAATGGCCTTTTTTATTATAATCCAACCACAAGCTTCCCTTACTATTATTTACATTATTCTATGCAAACTACAACAGTTGGCTCAAGGTTTTGAGAGTTGCGGCCTCCAAATGTAGAGTTACAATTCCCATCATCCCTCAACATTGATTAATACTGGTTGGAGCTACATCAGGAGGGCCACACACTTCTCTAAATAAAGAAAAGATTGAATGGGAAAATCCAAGAGGTTTTTACTCTCCATAGTACTGAAGGATGACTCTACTTCTCGTCTACTACAGGAATCTATGACTTCAGCAGTTATAGTATAGTAAAAAAAGGGGGGGGGGAAAGAGTTAAGCTGCCTCTGATGGCTAGGAATAGCTTAGCTAAGTGGTTCGCTACCTTTCATTGCCTCCCCAATCAAGATTTAGCGAAAAGGTAAATGGTGAAGAGGAGGAATGTATTCCTTATGTAGCAGGGGCGTCCTCCCCGCTACGGTGATGCGCGGCGATCGGGGCCCCGGGATGCCCGCAGCACTCAGCCGATCCCGCCGCTCAGCTGATTGGCGCGATCGGCGCTGCACCCTCCCAGCTACACTTAGACATTTTACCTACCCACCCTCAACACACCGCAGATCCAGCCCACTCCTTCCTTAGCTTGTCCTAGTCAAAAGCACTCGGGAGATCTCTCTTCCCCGGGAGAACACAGAAACCCATCTAGGCTCCGGATGCCCCTGTGCTGTCTGTCACTATTGATCCCTCGTCAAATCTTCGCTCCGGGCATCAGGGCATCGAGACGAGGGGAAAAGAAATCAGGCAAGAGCCCAGTTTCTCCTCCAAGCGGTTCCTTCTAAAGGGAAAACCACCATCCGAAACCCACCAAAGGGTTTAGGTTTCCCCCCTCAGGACTAGGCTACCGATTCTTCTCTGCCCCCGGTGTGATTCGCCCATCTCTCCCTTTTCCGAAGGCTCCACACATCTCCGCCCGCCCGCCGCCCGCCTCGCCACGGATCTGCAGCCTTCAGCCAGGGGCTTCCCTGCAACAGCGCGGAACCTCTGGAAGGCAGCAGCTTGCAGGGACCCGCCGAATCCCTCCTCCTCCTCCTCCTCCTGGTTTGCTTTCTGCCGTCCCATCCGCCGCGCCCATCCCAGCCCCCTCGCCCTCGCCCTCGCCCTCGGTACTCACAATGGCACCAGCCCAGATGGCAGCACCAGTGCAGACGGAAGCAGCGGCCGTGACTGTGGGTGGCGCACAGCGACAGCCCATCGCAAGGCTGAAAGTCGGGTCTTCCAGCGCAGCTGCGGGCCAGCGCTTGAGCCTCGTCCAGCTTCTCGCTTTTCCCGACCAGAAGAGAAGCGGCAGCGACGCTGGCCGCCGCCCCAACCCCGCTCATAGTGTTGTTGCCGCCGCCGCCGCCTTCCCCTCACTCGCAGCCCGCTCTGAGCTGACGCCTTGTCGCCGAGTCACTCCCGCTCGCGCGCACACAAAGCGCAGCGGGTCGGGAAGCAGCGCTTCTTGCCAGGGGAAACAAACGCCACGGGCTAGCCCGGCCCCGCCTGGAGCCACCTTGGCCAGCCGCCCAGCTCCGCCTCAGCCTCAGCCCCGGCCCCAGCCCCAGCCCGCCCCCTCCAGCTAGCGACGGGGCGGGGAAAGCGAGGGAGGGGAAGTCAGCCGCGGGGACTCCGCTGAAGTGCTCGTGAGCGGCGGGAGGAGGAAGGTTGGAGGGGGATTAGGAGAGCTGCGGAATCCTCCCCGGGAGATTAAAACCGGTCGGCGTTCCCCTCCCTCCGTCTGGAGAGAGCGCTTCCCGACAGCTCCTGTGGGCGAGGCGAAAGGAGGGACGGATCGCAGCCAGTCAAAAGACCGGGGGACTTTCCTCTCCAGCGAACGGTTACTAGGGCGCCTCGCATCCAAGTTCGGGCGGACCCCTCCGTAGCCGTCTCCCACCATTCGCATAACCCGAGGCCTGGATCCTTCGGGATTTTAATATATTGTGACCAATTTGTTTCTCTTTTAATACACCCTCCGGGCACAGAGCTGCCTTCCAACGTTTGCGCCTCCCTTCCCCTTTCCAGTTTGCATCCATCTCCCCACCTTGGTGTCTGGACCAAGCAGGACTGCCCTGGGATGTAAATATCTTCCTGTAGCCTTGCAAGAAATAAGGACGAACAATATACTTGCATGTTTTTTTTAAAAAAAACAAATGATTTCATAAATGTGCCATTAGTATTTAATTTTCTATTTGGCCAGTTGATATGTCTTCCTCTTTGAACTGATGGCATGGAGTGCACTGGAGCAGAAAACCAGAGGTTATGGAAATAGATAAATGCCATTACATAAAGCTGTCTTCTGCTCCCTTAGTATATTATTCTCTATGACCTGATTCACTAGCACTTAAGCATCAGGCTTCACTGGTGAAATGATGCTCGCTTGCTCCAGATGTTTTGGGTAGAAACCATTTCTGTAACATGAAGCTTTTCACCCTCTCTTTCTCTAGCGAAATTGGTTTTCATTAATGACTGACAGCCAAGATAAAACAATAAAAGTAAACATGATCTTTATATGCTTTAATTTAATTTACATTGTCTTAGTGCAATTTAAAAAGAAAAGACTGCAGATGAGAGATTAAAAGAGTTCATATTTTTAGTAGTAGAACATGCTTATTGTAATCATAGTCTCATAGGGATGAAAGGGACCTTGGAGGTCTTCTAGTCCAACCCCCTGCCCAAGGCAGGAGTCCTTATACCACCCCAGACAAATGGTTATTCAATCTTTTCTTGAAAACCTCCAACAATGGAGTAGCACCCATGAATCAGGGAGGCAAGATATTTCATCAATTAATCGTTTTCATTGGTAGGAAATTCCTCCTTATTTCCAGGTTCAATCTCTATCTGATGAACTTCCACCCATTACTTCTTGTCTTACTCTCAAATGCTATGGAGAAAATAAATCAACACTTTTTTTTTTTCTGTGGCAACACTTCAAATATTGGAAGACTGCTATCAGGTCTCCCCTAAGCATTCTCTTCTCTGCACTTGTTTTAAGAGCCTCAGCATCTTTTCTGTATCATGGTGACCAGAATTGCTCACAGTATTCCAAGTGTGGCCTCACTGCGCATATAAAGAGATATTATTTTCCATAATCTTGATGCAATTTAAAAAGGTTCTTCTGAGAGATGATAGGGCAGAGAGAGATTTCATAGATAAGGATGACCATACATAGATCTTTCCTCACTTGCCGTGTACATTGTAGTTTTCCAGAGAAATACTTGTTTCTTAGGAGAAAAGGAAGTGAATATATGCCATTAATGGACTTTCACATAATCAGCATCCTCAAAATGTTATTTTCACCACAAACAAAAACAATCCTTTGTTCCCCTTCCAAACTATTTTTTATCAATTTTCATTAAAATCACCTTGCATTTTCTCTGCTTTTTTAAAAATGATAACTGTACCTTGTTCTACTTGGCTATAATCTTCACAACTATTGTTTTTCTGTAATACAACTTTCCCTCATCCTCCTTTTGCAGCAGTCTTTTAAATAATATTTACATCATCTTTTATTTCATCATTCCACTGTTTCCCACTGGCATAACTGCCTGTACTTCTGTGATATGATTTTTTTCAGTCTCTTCCAAGCAATTTCCACATCATATTTCCTTATGTCAATTCTTCCTTCATTCCACTGGGAGATTAATCTATCATCTAATAATCCTTTGTCACATAGAATGCGTATCTTTTCTTTCTGCAGGTATTCTATTTTTTTTCCAAAACTCATTTTTTTTGCAAGACCATTCTTGGCATTGCCAAGAAATGATTTTCACATTCAGAAACATATCACTTTTGCATATTTCACTAATTTACTCCGTATTTCATGATGAATCCTGAAATTAATTATACTTTTAGATTGATATTCATTCCCTTGCCTTGGGTAAACAAGAATAGATTTATGAGTAGAGCATGTATGAAAATCCCATTTTTTAATTTCTAAATGGCCCAACACTTTTTCTGTATTCTCTGATCTACCCATCTATTCATGTTCGCCTTGCAGAATAACATTTCTCCCTAATCTTAGTCATTCAGAATATTGCATAATATCTCCCCAAAATCATGACTAGATAATGCCTGCCATTATCACTATTCAGTGGATCATAACAGGCAACTATCATCAACAAAGGAACTCCTACTTTCATGTACACCCACTACAATAGAATTCATACTTAATGACGCACATTTTAGTTGTTACAAATCACCTTCACTTGTACTGCATGAGACTAGACCAACTTCTGATCTTGTTTTCTGTGCATCCTGTGTGACCAGATGAATTTATATGCCCTTGGTCCCATTGATGAAACAATATTATCTAGCAAGACTAGGAAGTGTGCTTTCTCTATCAATGTCCATTATCCTTTGTGCTTTTAAACAAATCTTGAAAAGTTGGCTTTTTCCTCAAGGCATGGTCAAAGGTGGTTGATGGATCCCTTTTGGTTCAGGAGTGTGAGGAAGAGTTTTCATTGTTCCCTTTTGATACTGATCTTACTTCCTTTTCTAATTGTTAAGATGCCCAGAGCCATTACAGAGTCAGGTGGCTCTAAAAATACGTTGTATCAACAAATAATTCAGATCTTTTACATCTTTCCTTTCCTTTCCTCTCCCCTCTCCACCTCCCCTCTCCTTATGCTTTGCACTATTTAGTCTCCTTAGATTTGAAACTCCAATTTTCCATAACTCATGGCCAGTAACAAATGGTCCTGACCATAACCTTCATCATGTAATCAGGACTTTTACCTAATATTTTAATAAAATGGAGGAATACGCTTCTTAATCTCAATCATATAGTGTAACATACACCATATGTTACATTCCCTGAAAACAATAGTATCAGCCAATTTTTTTCCCAGGGAGCTGCCAGATTTTACTTGGATAGGAAGTAAAAATTAATGAAGCTCTATACTGTATTGATCCACCCAATCAATTGTATCCAGAAGGCTTCTCAGATGTCCAAGTAACAGAGTAGGGTCACACCCGCAGGCCTCATTTTTACAACACATATAATATGTATGTAATAGGTACAGCAAACAGGGATTAATTGACCTAAGTAACTCACAGCGGCTCCAAACTCAATCAGTCATGGCCAGGATTAAGTTAACTTCACTCAGCCAAGTAATCTAGAATGGCTGACAATCAAATCTCTGAATTCCAAGATGACTCACTGCTAAGGTCCTGCAGTACAGAATGTATCTCTCAAACATTGATTAGCTGCAGTGGGCAAGCCAGACCTACTGTTGCCTACCGGACAGATGACAAAGGAGCCGATGATGTAATGAAACCTTGCAAGTGCTTTCCTAGTAAGAATTCACACATATTGTACTGGCTTTTCACAGAAAAAGAAGATTATGATTTGATAGTCTTAAAATGGAGGCTTTAGACCTTCTGGTTCATAGGACCGCACTATAAAAACTAGTAATAAGTGGTGTGGCTGGTTAAGATGTAGTAAGAAAGAGCCCTGGAATTGAGTTTTGTATAGGTATTTCTCTCATCAATAATAATTTCTGTGAGAAACAGATGGTATTTTTTTTGGGTGGATGGGGGGAGGGATAAAAAAGTTATCACCCCATTTAGGTCTGAGTGTACATATTTACAGTAATTGTTTTTATAGTCCCAAATAACCTTTGGAACTAGACAAAGTGATCTTTAACAAAAATATTCTTGAAGCAAAATCATTATGAAAAATTGCCAAGTATTTATCACCCCACTGTTTATGTAGATAGTCTCTATTGGCACAGCAAGCATGTGTCAGAAGCATCTGTGACAGGGTTTAAACTGTGTTGATATCCTATCCAGTTTTGGAAGAAAAAAAGAACAGGCTATGTACTTTGAAAATAAATTATAACGGATAATGTAATTCAAACTGATTTTATGCCTTAGCTACTTCAAAAGCAGAATGCAAAAAAGTTCCTAGTTGCAAAAGTGGTCTCATTATCTCCTCTCAGACTATGGTGCAGATAGTACAGCGGACAATCTTCTCTGGGAATAACTGGGAAGAGCCATATGTGTGTTAACGGATTCAGTATGTGTGTCAGATAAAGGTAATAGTAAATCACAGTATGAACAGAAACAACTTCAGTCATTCTGTCAGCCTTGCAGGGTAAACCAGATAGGAATCACAACAGATGTGCTAATTCTACTTTATTGCAAAGCTACATTGACAGAATCTTGCAAGTCTGAAGGTATTGTTCTCTCCCCCCCCCCAAACTCCTTTACAGTCAGAGAAACCAGGAAGGTTTCTTCTGAGCCTCTTGTCCTTGCTCTGTCTCTTTATCTGACTGTTATTAAAGGGGGGAGTCATTCCAGCAGAGTAGCCTGTGGGAGAAGAGGCACTTCTCTACAAGAAAATCAAGGGTTACACTGGATAGCAGCGTGAATCACCAAAATCAGCACTTGAATCACCAAAAATTAGCAACATTTTGGTTTTCTTTGTGTAGCAAAAAACAAAGATGGGTAGCCTATATGTCAACCAATACAAGATATTATATGTACCTACCTTCAAGAAATTGTGAGTGTATTCCTACTGGGACTAGCTGCTTGTAAGGGGCAGTGCCTGAGATGGTTTCAGCTAACATAAAACTTTGCAACTCGTGCCCTGTAGCATGATATGTTAAAAAGGGCCTAACAAAAGGAGCATGTTGGAGGATATATATAGCACTACAGTAGAACATTTTATATCCTGGACACATAGTTTATGTTATGACTTAGGACATTTGTACATTAACTCAGCCATTGATCTGAAGAAGACAAATATAAGAGGTTTGACTCCAAGGATATGGATTTGAAGTAGCTTTAGAAGGACTGGAAAAGACATCAGAAGTACAACAGCTATGGAACAGAAAATAGTGGAGGATAAAAAATTACCATTTCCAGTCTTGGGGGAGCTTCTAAAATTTTAAGAAATTCCCAGTGAGAAAACATGCTACCAACAGAACATATTATTGGGTACATCTTTTCTCATTACTGTAATCCATGATGGGAAAAGTCATAGTTTAAGAAATCATCTTTTCTATTCCAGTCTGAAAGTACAGGGACCTCTCAAAGGTTGAATTTCAATATCCTGGAAAGATAATGAGAGCTAAAAGGTAATGAAAAAATATCTTTCACAAATTACTTTGAACTAAAAATGCACACTGGGAGATGAAAGGTTAAGATTGTGTTCCAATATTTTAACAAGATTAATATTAGTTGATAAACATGCATATACATGATACCAGTAATCATAAACCTATGAATAGAGAGGCATTTCTAAATTGCTTAATGTGGGATATAGGAATATGAATTATTACTTATTTATTCAATGCCTACCACATTTTCATCACTTTCACCACGATACTCAGAAGTGTAGAAGTGGTCTCAACCATCCATGTAGAAGCAGTGAGGTAAGTTAGAATGAGAGTTCACTCAATAAATTTTGCGGCTATATTTTAACTCAGCCTTCTCATACGTGGTAGCTACAACTCCAATCACTATCAGTAACCACTGAATGTAGTCCATCTCATTTGATGGTGCAATCATCTGGCTGAAGAAGGCTATTCTAATCACTAATCTCATGCTGCTTCAACAAATTAGATTTCTCATGTGCCAGTGGACCCAGCCTTATCACCATGCTATGTTCTTTATATCTTTGTGTAAGCAGAGAAGTATGTCAGTGTATCTTCACAGTCTAGCTTCAGCAACGAGGCCAACAGTGTTGCCACCCCTACACAATTTAATGCAGTTTAAGGTAATAATTAATGGATTCTCTAGCATTCTTATCCCACTCAGCCTGCATTTCTTTTTGGGGTAGGCAAAACTAATTAATTAAATTTTTCATTATAGTATATAGTGGGGAATTTTGGGGTATTCCAGGTGGTCTCTCCAGTTTCATGTTTTATGTTTCCTGTGCTTCAGGATGTGATCCAATTCTTTTTTTCTTTTTTTGCTGCAAGACTGTATCCTAGGAGATTATCTTTTGTTCAAAACAAAAATAACCTGTCAATCAAGACAGAGTAGTCTTAACTGTTCCTTCCTGCTTGTTCCCCTCATACGCCACACTGACTATTAACCAGATTATTGATTAATCTCCTGCAACTATTGATCTTGGAAATTGATGTCCTATGGTATAAAAAGAAGGGGGGGGCATCCAGGCCAACAAGTCTACTCTGTACAAACTAGTTATACAGTCTTTCTTGCAGCCAAAACCAAATGAAGGAATAAGGCAGTGATCAAATGGGGAAGGACATGTGTAGTCAATAGGAACTAGGAATATTCCTGTCCCTGATGCGGCTCCCTGATGATGCAATTGCCAGCCTCATCACTGAAGTATTGCGTTGTTCATATGGCAAAAATCTACATCAGGAACAAAAGGAAGAATTTCAACAGATGACTGCAGGCTCTCATTAACACAGGCTTGGCAAGACCTGAAGACATTATGAGTACACATCCCTTAAAAACAGCCATGCACCTTCATGCTGTGGTAAATGGGATGTGAGGATTAGCTCCATGGCTAATTTCTCTCTACAACGTTTGGGGGGAAAGGGACATTTCAGCAAAACACAAGAGGGTTAATAAAATGTTTCAGTTAAGAAGGTGGTTCTGGTTCTGGATATCAGCACTTAATTTTAATTTCCTAGATTCTAAAAATAGCAAGTTTGGGGAAAATAACTTTATACATTTTGAGGCCTTGCCATTATTAATTAAACAATAAATATTGTTTTCTTCAATGTCACACAGAATTATTCTTTTTATCACATTTTTTATATCTTCCCTTGTACTGCATATTCTAGAACCAATAATATACTTGTAGCAGCCTTCTCCAAGCTAACTCTCTTCAGATATTCAGAAATCAGGGAGTTAGAAAATTATCATTTTTTTTGTAGAGTATTAACTTGAGGAAGACACGTATTTATTTCCATGACCAAACAAGAGGTAACAAGTTGATAAGCTGGATACAATTTCACAAATCTTAGAATTTTAGAACAGCTTTCCCCAACCTGGTATCTTCCAGATGTGTCAGAATATTCAGTCTTCTTCAGGAATCATAGCAGCACATATAAGGACTATCTCCTCCAATTCTTCCGATTAGCCTAAAAGGTTGGACTGAAATATAGCAGCTGGTTCAGAGCAGATTCCTAGCTGAGGAAGGACACATACATGGACCTTTTCAGTCCAATACCTTACCTGCTATAGCATTCTGGATGGTACCAAGTTTGAGAAACTTGTTTTACAATCTAATAGAGGAAACATACAAAGATTTAACAGTGATTTTTTTAACTTTTTTTACCCAGAATTCAGAGGTGCAATTGGTAAAAACAGTAGCTTGGGAGACTGAGGTGGAGCAAAAGCAAAGAATATACTCAGCCCAGGAATGTATTTACTTCCAGAATAGTATGCATCTTTCAGATCAAAGTTATTTTTTCTCTTCTTGTAAAATAGCTTGATCAAGTATATTCAGAGACAGGGCAGCTTAATACTAGCATGTGCTTTCAAGCAAGTGGTATGATAAAAGGCACTTTGCTAGTAACAATTTATCATTTGGAGAGAGAGGGTGAGGGCTCATTTTTGAAATCAGAAAAGACAGTGGTATTATTCTATAGCACCCTGTATTTCAGTCTACAGCCTGAAATCAATCAGTTAAAAAAATCTGAATAGGAAACAGCCTGCTTATACTGAATGATAACTTGTGTGTAGAAAAAATATTCTATGTTTTATTTTCCTATCAGCTCTCATTCCATCTGATGAAAGACAATTTGCTTTGTAAATGTATTTCAAAGAAGAAAAGGATTTCATTGAACTTATCATAGGTTATATTCTGCCATTTACTGAAGGGTTGCCATGGCATGGGTGCAAGTATCCTTTCCCCCAATCATCTAAGCAATCATCTAGGCTTCCATTAAATGCTAAGGAGTATTAAAAAGGCATTGTTCCCATTGGGTCTTCCCTGAGATGCGTGGGCTTCACAATGATGGAAAACAATGCAAACAGTAGCACCCCAAGTCTAACAATAAGGAGAGCTTAAAAATGACCCATGAGAATATTTACATGCATCCCCAAAACTTTTTTAGAATAAGGTAGGAAAATAAAACCCTCCCACTTGCATGTAAAGATGATGATTTTCAGCAACATTAATTATAACTTGTTTTGCTGGGCTCTCACAAGTGATGGCCAGTTCTTCAACGGAGGGCTACCAAGGGTGACGAGTTTCTGCAGAAAGGGACTGGGTTGTAGTTTAGGTATGTCAGGATTAGCCTCAGCATACTTTTGCAGTTTTCTTAGAATCTGAGGCAGCCCAATCTCAGAAGCATAGAACATTGGACCACCCTTATGTCTGGGCCACCCATAACCATTGATATAGATGGTATCAATGGCTTCTGGGCAAGATGCAATCTCTTCAGATAATATTCGGAAACCCTCATTGATAAGTGAATACAGACAACGCTCCAAGATCTCCTCTTGGGTAATGGTGCGAGTTGTAATGTTGTGGACATTTCTATAATTTTGAAGAAAATTGTGAAACCAGGGATCAGACTTCGCTGTCTTTCCCCCGGGTTTATCATATAGGTACCAGCCCTTTCCAGTTTTCTGACCATATCTCCCCTGCTCACATAGGACATCAGGAAGAGGACTATAACGTTTACCATCTCGTTGGCAGGGAGGTGTTCCAAGAGGTAGGTTGGCTCCTGTCAGGCCTTGCCCTATTCTAGATTTCCAGCCCACATCAAGCCCAGCCAGATCAGATACTTTGAAAGGACCCAGTTTGAAACCAAATTCCTCCAGAATTTTGTCCATCTCCTCTGGAGTACTGCCCTCTTCTAAAAGGAAATATGTTTGTTCATTATAAGAATTGAGTAGCTGATTCCCAACAAAGCCAAAACAATTTTCTACTAGAACACCACATTTGCCCATAATTTTGGCCAGTTTCATAATTGTAGCAATAGCAGTAGGAGATGTGTGCTGTCCATGAATGATCTCTATTAACTTCATTACATGTGCCGGTGAAAAGAAATGAGTACCAATGACTTGCTGGGGACGGTTAGTAATAGAAGCAATCTCATCTATATCCAGGCAAGAAGTATTAGTGCCCAAAAAGGCTTCTGGCTTGCAGACTTCAGATAATTTACAGAATATTTCTTTTTTCAGAACCATATCCTCAAACACAGCCTCAATAACTAGATCTACATCTTTTAGTGCACCAAAATCCAGAGTGAAGTGAAGTAATTTAGCTTTATGGATATCCAGTGTTTTGCCTTTCTGTTGCATTCTTAAAGTTTCACGCTCCAAACAAGCTTTGATAGCTTTTCTTGCTATTTCAAGATGCTTCTTATCCTTCTCCAGAGCCACAACTGGAATTTTAGCTTTCACCAGAGCTACCACAATGCCTTGGCCCATTGTCCCCAAACCTTTTGGAGAGAGAAAAAGAAGAAGCAATTATTAGAACATTCTGGCCAATGTTTATTAAACTGACATAATACCACAGGCAAATTTTTTCACTCCTCAGTTAACTCCGATATTAAAGCAGAGAGACTATTGATACTATACTGTACATGTAAGAAAAGCCAGATTGTTCTAAGATCTCCAAAGTTTTTGGACTGGCAATATAATTAGAATTTTGATGATATTTGAGCATACCAGCAGAATGGCAATTTGGGGTGATTTGCACCTTCTCAAAAATAGAGTTATTGCAATATAGTCAATTACAAACCATGAATAAAAATATGCATTTCTATTAATCCTGTTTACCTTTGTCCTTTTTCGATGTAAGTAGCAGACTTCTAAATCAGGCATCCCCAACCCCCGGGCCATGGTCCATTACTGGGCCATGGAATGGCTGGCTGGTCACACGTGTGCGCAGCTCAACATGTGAGTGCCAGGTCGGCGCACATGTGTGAGCACACCAACCTGCTGCTTGCACAGGCCACTTCTCCTCTCCCTCCTGCCAGGCCTCCAAGTTGTAAAGATTGGAGAACATTGTTCTAAATAATGCATTGCATTTCAGTCTCTCATTAGTTTTATTTTCTAAGAAAGCTGATTTAGGGTTCTTAGAAATTTATATTATGAAACATTGTGTAGCTTCTCATTACATTAAAGGTGTTTTTTTTTTTTAATGTAAAAAATCAAGGGGACAAGAAAACTGACAAGCACAAAAAATAGTAGGTTTTGTTAACTACATTGGAGTTCCATATAGGGAACTTCATCTCTTAGCAAAGACTTTGTTGTTTGAATGATTTATTTCACACGAGTACCTAAAACTGGTCTTTCCCAAGTTCCAGATGTATAGATATCAACACCAAAATTCCCAGCCAGCATCACCATTGCAGAGAATTCTGTGAACTGAATTCTGGGTATCTGGAGCAACCTGAGACTAAGAAAAGTATCACCAAAGCATATACCACAAATTATAATCCAGAAAGCTGGGTTTGCAGAACATGCTAAATGAACCAAATAATAAATTTATATGAAATGTGAATATAGTTAACAGTCATTTCCAGCCATTGCTGTAATTTGGTTACAAACAGACTGTACCTGTTTAGGTTTTGCTTAACATAGTGGATGAGCCCAGTACTTATGGGTCATTCAACAAACCATGATTTGAATGCAACATGGCTTATCGTGAGGTTTGAGCCCATTCATTTATTGCTGGTTAGAAGCAATATGATTCTTAAATCATTTTTTTCAAAACCCATGTGGCCTTTTAGAAGAATGTCTTTCTTCCAAAAACTCAGAGGCCCCTAAATAGCTGGAGGAGGAATTGTAATTGGGAAAATATAAATGGAGAAAAGGTTGAGTCCTGTTTCCCCAGAGCTTAATCCCAGCCTGAATCATTGATTTCCATGGTAACTGTCACATTTTAAAACATGCACATACAGATACCCCTTTTTATGGATCTTCCACATTAAATCTAATTTCATCTTTAGTGGGGACAGAAAAGTATTTTTTTCTTGAAACAGTTTCTTGCCTACTTCTATGCTGAGAAAAGTATTTATGCAGAAGTTCAAATCAAAGAGCCCAATCTCAGTTCTTAAAAAATGAATATTACTAACGAATATTAATATTAGTACATGGTTAAATTAAGCACTAGCAAATGAAATTTGTATCTGGTATACGCAAAGTTTTATGAGCTAGTACTAGGTTACTGCATGCTTACTTATTACAACAAAACATCAATTTGTTGTGTAGCCAAGCACTGGAAATACTCATGCAGCAATCAATCTAGCAAAATGTATTTTACCAATGTCCCAGAAGCTTTTCTGATTCTATTAGCCTGAAGCAATATATCAGGCTTGTATCAAAACAAAGTGATCCATGCTCTTGAGTAATTACAGAAAGCTTATTGTGGACATTTCAGGAGGCCTAAAATATACTCAAACTGTAATTGTTCAATCAAAATACTAACGTTTATCTACATTCTTTATCTATATTTTCTGTTAATAATTTGCTGAGAGGCTTCCAAACATGACTACAGATATGGTTAGACATCAATATTTATTTATTCTAAAAGATCTGTACGGCCTTCTTTCTTAAAACACAACTCTGAGCAGCTCCTAGATACGTCTTCATCATGGTCCCCTAGAATTAGTATTAAATTCCTTGTTCCTTGAATTCCTTAAAACTCAGAAGTTTTAAGATGATTCATAGTCATTCTTGCTGCTGCAGATTTTAAAACATAATGAACAAGAGGCAGTTAGTGCATTTCCAACTGACCATTGACAGTGTAAAAAATCAGCAGTCAACAAGTGCTTCTCTCAGCCATGGTTTGCTTTGTTAAATTATCTCAGTGTTCAAACTCAATGCACTATAAAGTCCACTAAACAAGGGGTACATTTTGTAAAAGTGCTCTTAGCTTGATATAAGACCCTCTACTGTTACGACCCAGGTCCTCAAGGCAAGGCAGACCTCTAGAGAGCTCTAAGTAAATGTTCCAACAAATGGCCCTCCAACGACTGGTAAGGCTCCAACCCACGTTACCCTGCAGGTAGCCACCCTCAGTCCCCCCAAACAACAGCCCATATATAACAAAGAATGTCCACAGAGTAGGAGCATGCTCACAGGGCAAGGTCCAGGGTCCCAAGTCCAATCCACCCAGTTAAGCGAGTCCCTGAGGCAAACTATAGTCCTTAAGGCAAAGTCAAGGTACAAGACAAAAGAGAGTTTTCAAGGCAAAGTCAAGGCAAAAGGCAGTCCTTGAGGCAAGGCAAGGCAAGGCAAGGCAAAAGACACAAGTTCAAGCCGGGGGAATGTAAACCAAAACAAATAATTGTTCCTGACAAAGACTAACTCCCCACAGCATCTCCTTAAATCAATCCATTCCAGGTGTTCCTTGTGAGGAGGAGTGGGGGGCCTCCTCCCGAATTAGCTTCACAGCTCTTCTCTGAGCTTGCCTACTCTCCGCTCTCCGTGCTATTGGATCGAGTGGGGGAGGCAGATGTTCCTCACCAGAGGGAATCTGCTGCCTATCAGCACCACTGCTTATCAGCAGCCAATCCTCTCCTGTTTCTCTGAGGGCAGGTAGCTCTCTGTTCGGTCAACCACCTCCCTCAGCATCGTCCTTAGCCCCTGGCCTCTCCAAAGATTCCAAGAGAGATAAGCCATTCTCATTGGATGGCTTGGTTCCAACTCCTCCTCCTTCACCACCTCCTCCTCCGAACCAGGCTCCGATGTGGCCATGACATCTACTAGCTCTGCTTCATTCCACGTAGTAACCTGGAAAAGTTTGAACCTGTATCTATGCTTCTTTAAGATAGTAATTTCTGCATATTCATCATTCGTGACGTTCCATGAAATTCATAAAGAAGACTCTTCCTTCTGCGTGTTAAGGGAAATTAGGCTCATACACATTATATGTGCATATATGGAGCAAAATAATGATATTTTACATGTACTGAGTTATAGACTCCATGATACTTCACTCAAATGTCAGTTCTCCAATAAGTCATAGCAACTTAAAAGGGTTCAAGGTTGCAAGCAGATTTAATTTGCCACTTTTTTAGCTAAAGGGATATCAGTCATGCAGAGAAGCATAATTAAGGCTGCAAAGTGGCAGAGGGAAAAAGACAGATGAAGACTGTTCCCTCAAGACTGCCGCCTGCTCAGGTGAGCTTCAGAGAGTTCAGCGTGCACATGCTGCAGCAAATCACATCTTGTATATAGCAGTCAGACTGTGGGGTGGAAGGAGTGGGAAGAACAGTGAAAGTATAACATGACTGTCACTCTCTTAAAATCAAAGAGGGCACTACCAAGGATGGGCTACTTAGGGAAGAGTTTCCCACTGAGTATAAACCAATCAATATGCAGAGCAACAAAGAGCTTTTGAAGAAACTGTACAGTACATCAGAGAGGTTTTTTTTAATTTTAATGCCTTTATAAAAAATTAATGAGTGCATTATCTTCCTGGGGATAGGCAAGGAGAAATGGAAGCAGTTGATCATTACAATGAAAATTAAAACTTCTTAAAAGGCAAGTGTCAACACAACATTTTGAGATTAATGATTAAATATGTGAATTAAAGGAAGAAAACAATTTTTGAAAGTCTCTTTGCTAATTCCCCCTAGAGAGAATCTACCCAGGGCGGCAAGAGGGAAAGCAGAACAATCTCTAATATTGCAGTGACAAAACTGCGTAATAGAAATTACAAATTCTTTTATTGTTGCATATCACCAAAAAAGTTCATTCTTCATCAACAGATATTTTTTATTTAAAAGCAATAAAATGCAGAAGGTACTTAGTATGTGACTGACTGCCTTTTCTCCCTTTGCAATGGGAGATTTAAAAGAAAAGATTTACTTGTTTACAACCCCATTCTGGATTTGCATGATACAATGGACACTACAGTAACCAATCACGTTTGGTCCAGGATATTGTATACACTAAGTCTGTTTATTTAGTGTATTATTTAGTATGTGATCTCAGAAAACTGAATCAATTGATCCATCTTTAGTTAATTATAATTATGTAGTCAAATAGAATCAAGGTCAGTGGTGAAATCCTCCAAGGTTTGCCACTGGTTTGCTGCGCACACATGCACAGTGCGTGCCAAATGTGCACTGTGCACGCATGCATAATACGCCTCACATGTATGCTTTGCATGCACGCGCAGTATGCACCAAACATGCACTACACACACATGCATGCGCAGTGCGCACCGAACATGTGCTTCACATGCAGATGCACCACAGGCGCTATCGCGCAATGCGGAAAATGGAGGTTTAAGAAGGTAACTAGAACAGCAAGGGGGAAACAGCTGTGCTGTGTGATTTAGATTCACTAGAAAGCAGAATTTTCTGCTTTCTAGCGAATATAAATTGCGCGGCACAGCTGATCATCGGAAATACCAGCTCAGATGAACTGGTAGCATTTTTTTACTACCGGTTCGCCCAAACCTATAGCTTTTACTACTACTGGTTCGCTTGAACCGGTGCGAACCGGTAGCATTTCACCCCTGATCATGGTCTTTCTTCTAACCGGTGTTATGTTTGAGACTATAGCTTCTGAGATATATCTCCGGGGAAAGGAAACTGACTGTAAGAGGAATTAACAACGGAGCTCTGCATTTTCTCTATTGAAATTAAGCAATGCTTAAAGTGCAAACTAGGTACCTTAAAGTAACTGTGCAGTGTTTGCATAGTCTTCATATTTTCTTCAGAATCTTCATATTTTCTTTCCCCAACAAAAAAATAACAATTGAACTTTGAATAATTCAAAGATGTTCACAAACTTACCTATCACAGCTGCTTTCCGGATTGGTTGAGGGGATGCAGTCTTCCAGGAGGCCCCATTGGGCAAGATCCATTTTTCTGAAATTCTTTGGGCAAGGAAAGCGTACTGCAATGCTTTAGCCTGGCCTGAAGTGAAAAGGAGACGAAAAAGCTCCTTTTCCTTGCGAATTCCTTCTGCGAAGGGCAAGTACACAGAAGCTTCCACAGCTCGAAAGCACATTTCGGGTGAGAGGCATCCTGGAGCTTGCTTCTTCACCTTCAAAAGTGCCTCAGATAGAAAAGCTTTCATGTTGGGGAGTTGGGGAGTCTGTTTCAGAGAGAGTCTGCGGGGTCCCAATGGCTGACCTAGAGAGGGCAAACAAATCATCTCATAAAACAGGCTAGTGTATCAGTTTATCAGTTTCTGTTTCTTTGTACAAGAAAACCAATAATAATGTAAATGTTCTGTTGCCCATTCTTAAATATATTTAATACCACTGTATACAGTAGTACCTATTGTGATGTGATGTGAAGTATGCACATGCAGTGTTGTGATAATGGCTTGAAGTGAAGTTTACTTTAAGTAGATGGGAAAGGATTGCAGTATACAGACAGTCTGTAGTGACCATTTGAAGTTACAACAGAAACTTCGAAAAAGGTACTTACAACCCAAATTCAAGGTTCTGATGGCCACCCCCACCGTGGTCATGTGACTGCATTTTGGGTGCTCGGCAAAGGCCCGGATTTATGGCTGTTTGAAGCATCCTGAAGTCACTTGACCACAAATTTATATATATTTTACACATATAAATATATATATATTTGCCAGAAACTGGCATTTACTACCAGTTTTTGGCAAAAAATGCCCATTGCAATAATGGGTTTGTTTAACTACCGTTCCATGGCATTCTCTTAACAACCATATATTCACTTACCAAAAAAAATGTTGTAAAATCAGGTCAGTCATGTAGTGACCCATTTAACAACCAGCAAGACTTATAACTGAAATTTCAGGCTCATTTATGGTTGTAAATTAAGAACTACTTGTACTGTCTAATGGCAGGTGCATTTATTTGGAAATGCAAATAATTCCTGCTAAGCACACTGGCAATTTAGATCAGCATTAATGCAAAGAATTCAATTTGTACAGTAATCTAGTCCTCCGTCTGGCCTCCCTAAACCACTTTTCCTTATCTTCAACCCCGAATTAGAGCTATGAAATAAGTTGCTCTTCAAAGAATCCTGAGAGTTGCTGAGCATTTTTAATTATAAAAATGACTTAATGGTAATTATTCATAGAAAGAGTACTTCAGAATATGTAGCAATTTAAATTTAAAAGAGTCGTAACTTTCATGTTTGCTGAGAACTTTAAAACATTATTTCAGCAGAGACTACCTTTTGAATAAATGGGAAACAGCGTAAACAAAACTACTTCATAAGTTTTAATTATCTTGAAATGTAAACCGTAGCTAATAAATATTAAAATAATTTAATAAATTATTGTCCTGTATTGGTTTGGAAAAAAGTATTACTTTGCTTATGTTCTATAGAACACGAATCCCTGAAAGATATATGTGTCTGGAAAGATGTTAAGTATTTTTTTTCCTAGAGTTTTCCCATTTTTGAGACTGAGTTCAAACAATATGTTCAGAAAAAAAGTTTCTTATATGATTTGAGAATCACAGAATTTATGGGATTTAAATTACAATCTATGCCTATCTGTAGAAGCCATATAGATCACAGGTAACCATTTTGTAGTCTGTGGCAATCCTATTTCCACACTCCTAAAGCATCATCGGTAAAGACAGTAAAACTAATGCCAGCAAAATGTGCCTTTCTAGAAATCTGTCTTAGATGTGGGTACATTTCTGTATAAAGACCATGTGTCAGTTTGTCGTAACCCTGTGATATCAGATGTGTTTAACCGTTGAACTGATTTATTTTTGGTCCATCTGTAGGGCATTTGAAACTGTTTTTCCCCATTATCAGGAACGCTTGTCTCGCCCTGAAGCCCTGTCTCTGCAATTTCTCTCTTTTAAAAGAAGAGGCAGCTGGAAGCATTTTCCTTTGCTCCTATGGAAATCTCTGTGAGCTTATTTTATTTTATTTTTGTACGCAAGACAAAAGGGTACAAGATGAAATAAGGATAGAGGTAGTGTGAGGGCCAGCAATTTATAGTATTTTATTATTTTTTCATATGGAGTAGGGATGAGTGGACTTGTTTCTGGTGAGGCAGTGTACTCTGTTCCTGTTACTCACTATTTCATGGCTGGCAGATTTGGAAATGATTGCTAATTATCTGCAAATAGCTTTTATAGAATGAAAATGGCACAAACATTTATGGAAATATTGCTAATAGAGGTAAGACTTGAAGCATTCCAGGCTTGGTTTACAAATAGAATTCATAAACTGACAGGAACATTTTTTTTGTAAGTCTCTCTCTTCTATCAAGAAGCCTAGAAGATCAATAGTTATCAACATGAAGCCAGCCATTATCCAGATTTTATCTAACAATGGCATAGTAGTTGCTTTCCTGGAACTTAAACTGCCATCATTGCTTCCTTGAACACCAAGAATGATTGCAGAAAGCGACATTATTTGTCAAAGTTTGGCGCCATCATGTGGACAAACTGCAGAGTGTGCTGAGAAAAGCAATTGATGCAAAACATCCACTCATGTCAAACATTTTTTGTTTGTTCACAATAGATTTAACTGAATTAAAATAATATTTCCTGAAATGCAAGTTGCATTTGAGAAATCTGTATTTTCGTGCATCTGGGTGAATCCCTAGAGCAACCCAATATGTATTTTTGAGAAGAAATGCCAACTGGCCTGGTGGCTCAGCAGACTGATAGCATTGTGATTAACACCAGCTGTCTGCAATTACTGTAAGTTCAAATCTCACCAGGCTCAAGGTTGACTCAGCCTTCCATCCTTTCTAAGGTAGGTAAATTGAGGACCCAGTTTGTGGGGGCAATAAGCTGACTTTGTATAAATATACAAAAGTATGAAGGCTATTGCTTAACGCATTGTAAGCCGCCCTGAGTCTCCAGAGAAGGGCGGCATATAAATCAAATTAAAAAAACAAAACAAAAAAAAACTGACCCAGTAAATGGTATAGAATAGATAATACCATCACTTCCGTGTGTTTACAAGCTAACTGATTAAATGTGGAAGTTAAATGTGACTATATGAAGTATATGTCATTAATCATTGTCTTCTTCAGAGAAACAGTGAAAAATATGGCAATTTTATGGGTATGTGGGAAAAGACAGCTTCTAGGTCTACCTTTTTTTCTTGATACTTAAGAAAAACATGTTGACCAAACCAGTGCTTTGTTATTCAAAAGTTAAGTTCCTTTTGGTGTCTCAACTTCTACGAAATGTGCATTAGATTGCTTCTGTTTTACAAAATAATTATGTCATTTAAACCAGTGATACAATTTAGTCATTCAATATGTCCACAACACCAGGGAATCAATTCCACAAGAACATTAAAACTACTTTTATTAAAAAATTGGCTATAATAATAGAATCTTGCAAGTCTGATTGGGCTGTATCTCTTCCTCTTTCTCAAAGTTCAATGAATTAGGGAGGAATCTGGCTGACCACTTCTGAATATGCTCATTCCAGACTTAAAAAATGGTACAGCGCCTTATACTTAGGCAAAGATCCTACAAACTCATGCCTCTCCATATTTATAATACACATAGTCCTTGGCTTACAACGACAATGGAGCCCAAAATTTCTGTTGCCAAGTGAGACAGCTGTTAAGTGAATTTTGCCTCATTTTATGACCTTTCTTGCCAAATTAAGAAAATCACTGCAGTTGTTAAATTAGTAACACAACTGTTACTAATCTGGCTTTCCCATTGACTTAGCTTGTCAGAAGGTCACAGAAGGTGATCACATGATCTTGAGACACTGCAACCATCATAAATATGAAATGGTTGCCAAGGGTCCAAATTTTTATCACACGATTATTGGGTTGCTGCAACAGTTGTGTGAAAAACAGTGATAAATCACTTTTTAAGTGCCATTGTAACTTCAAATTGTCACTAATTGAATGGTTGTAAATTGAGGACCACCTGTATATATAACTATAAATACAAGTAAGTTTGGGGACTTCCAGTTGCAACTGCGGCAAGAACCAGGAGACCAGTGGTGGGTTGCTACCAGTTTGCCCCAGATCGGTATTCCCAGACAAAGGAATTGTTTAAAGATACAGAAATGAATGTAGAAGCTATTCAACGATTGGGGGAAAAAGAGGAACATGATATTCAAGAAGTAGATGAGAAACTAGAAAAAGCAGGGGAAGGGGAGTATAAAAATGAGAAGCAAGAAGTTAGGAACAAAGAGGAAAAGAGACTAATAAGTAGAAGACAAATACCGTATTTTCCAGCGTATAAAATGACTTTTTAACACATGAAAATCTTCTCAAAAGTCGGGGGTCGTCTTATACGCCGGGTGTCATTCTCCTGTAACCAGGCAGACCAGCCCGAAAGGCTCTGACGAGCCTTAAATGGCTCTGGCAATCCAAGCTCTGACGATCCCAGCTGAGTTGCCTGCTAATCAGGCAACTCACCTTGGATCGCCAGAGCCATGTAAAAGGAAAAAAGTTTTCCCCCTCCAGCTTGCTTACCTTAGCTGCTAGTCGCAACGCTTGCCTTGCTTCGCTTGCCTGAATCCATTCCATCAGCAAGCAACTCCCTGCCTGCCATCAAGCAGGCAGGGAGTTCTGGACTTCAACTCCCAGAATTCCTCAGCCAGCAAAGCAAAGCTGGCTGAGAAATTCTGGGAGTTGAAGTCTACAAGTCTTAAAGTTGCTAAGGTTGGAGACCCCTGTTCTATTGGGTAAGTTTTTTTCCCCTTTGGGAGCTTTAAAAAAAATAATTAATTGGGGTTTTTTTTAGTTGTTCTTTTTTAGACCTAGTCATTTAAAGTTTAGGAAGTTTTAAATTTAGCTTTCATATAAAAATAAAAATAAAATAAAATAAAATAATATTTGTGCAGCTTTCTGAGATTTAATGTGTTTCTGTAGTGTTTCACTCTAACTACACAAACACAAAATCTCACAAAGCTGTATGTGGAATTTTGTGTGTGTAAAGTGTGAAAGTTGGTTTTTTGGGCTTTTTGTGGCTGTGTGAGGTTCCTGCTTGTTGCAGGGCCATTTTGGGTCTAGCACAGCTGCTTTTACATTGTGGGTGAGCCAGTTGTGTTGTGTGTGTGTAGAGTGTGAAAGTTTTTTGGGGGGGCTTTTTGTGGCTGTGTGAGGTTCCTGCTTGTTGCAGGGGCCATTTTGGGACTAGCACAGCTGCTTTTACATTGTAGGTGAGCCAGTTGATGTTTTTTAATTTTTATTTGGTGTGCATTGGAAGAGGGGTAGTCTTATTCAGCAAGTATAGCCCAAACCCTATATTTTAACAGGAAAAGTCGGGGGTCATCTTATATGCCCAGTCGTCTTATACGCCGGAAAATACGGTATATAACATCACAACTTATAAGGATACTAGAGAGAAAACCCCCTTTTAAAAACAAAAACAAAAGAAAGTTTTGTGGATGGGTGTTCAAAAAACGCAGCAGAAAGAGGCAAAGTGGTGGGTGGTTCAGAGAACCGGTAACATAGTAACATCAGCTAAACAATTCTTTCCACTGGTTGGTATTTTCTTTTGGGAATTTGTTGTATTACATTTTGCCCAGTACAACTGAATGTTCTTACCTGATATTCTTCGTGCTAACTTTATAGCTGCTTCAATTGGATTTTCTTCAACAATCTCATCTAAGATCCCCAGTTTCAGTGCTTCAGTAGCTGGCACATATTTACCTAACAAAAAGAAATATTACTTTTTCATTTAGGGTTCACTTAAATTCCGCCTGCTCCTTGGGAGTTTTAAGGTATGGTATTGGTAGACTATTTTGAGCTTAGACCAGGGGTCTCCAAATTTGCCAATTTTAAGACATGTGTAATTCAACTCCAGTCAGTCAGCCATGGGAAATTTTGGGATCTGAAGTCCACAACCCTTAAATTTGACAATTTTGGAAACCCCAGCACTAGACAAAATTGGTAAATTTTTGATTCTCAATCAGGTGTTAGAACAGTATGCTAAAATAACAGAACGGAAAATCCACTAATATCATTAGCAGAAAGGGGTCACCAAGGCAGTACTGCTTACTAAACTGTAAGGCACAAGTGGGCCATGTATTCTACAGGTACCTTCTATAGCACAGCAGCCAGCTAGAGAATAAGGATGCTTGTCAGCTCATTATTGGGCTTCTGTGCTGAAACATTAGAATTGATAACTAACAAATCAGCAGGGTTCAGGTGACAGAAAAATCAAACAGAACCCTATAAAATGGTAATTGGCTCTGGCCTAGGTTTTCAGTGATCAACTATGTGGCTCTTTGATTGTTCATAGCTATTTAACATGACACTGAACTTCAGATCACAAAACTGGTGGTCTTAAGTTTGGCACAAATAAGCTGTCATGGGTAACAACTTTTTAATATAAACTATTAAATAAATATTGAATTTTTAAAAATAAAATATTATTATAATCAATATAAGGCCAAAGCAGTACCAAAAATTTAAAAATAATATCCAAGAAATTCACTGCTTCACCTTGCCTTTGTGAATGTTGACTACATAATAAGTCTGGCAATGAATACAGCAATGATGTGACAGAACAGTGCTAAATCTAGAAACATTCAGAAATCATGTATTTGCATGAGAAGCACGGTCTCCTTCAAAATAAAGCTGAAAGCCAAACCTAATTTGGAATAACAGAACTCCCAAAAATACTGTATATTTTCCAGTCCTCTGTAGGGTTGTATGTAAAATTAATATTCTTAAAAGTAAGCTGAATTTCTTCTATCAAGACACTCATTTTCAGGTGCACAGCTTAGTGAAACATCCATCTAAAGTGCTGCTAATTTATCAGATCTTTTCTAGCTGCCACCTAAGATTTGTTAGCTAACATTTTAGATGATGAATCTAACAAACCCAGAAAGTGTAAGGCATGTTTTTACTGTAGTCATGCTATCCTATATTTCTGGAAGGCATATTCGGTATTAAATAAAAACATATATTATTTGCACACGACATATGTGTATTCACAGATGAAAGAATTTACCTGTGACTATCATATCAAGTGCAGCTGGAACCCCAATCAATCGTGGAAGCCGTTGAGTCCCACCGGCTCCAGGAAGTAAACCTATTGTGACTTCTGGAAAACCAACTTGAGCCTGAAGTGAGGATGAAATATTTGTAAATATTTACAATATATAGAACACATAGCATATTTTCCTCTAACTTTTTTTTAAACTACTCTATATAAGCCTATATGGGGATATATATGTGTAATGTTGGAAAAGATCAACTAATCTGGGGAAAAGTTGTATTTCAAAAGCCTGGATTCTCTATTCCTTTTCTAAATTTAAAATTATATTTAAGGTTGGTGTATACATCAATGGTGTATAAGCCATTGATTTCTGGATCAGTAACACAATCTTACATATTGAAGTGGGTTCCCTCTGTAAAATAATTCTACTAAATTTTACAAAGCATAAACATAAAAAAATAACTTAAACTAACTATAGAAAGAAATGATAAAGAATAAAAAGAGAATAGAGATAGAAGTGTGAAAAAGTATAAATAAAAAGAAAAGAAAACACAACTATATACAAAGAATGAAAAAATATTTTCTCCTTTTAAAATTTTAATAATCATCAAATCCATATGTCAAAATTTGGTTTTTCTCCATTGCCTGCAAAATTTCCACAAAAGACTTAGAACTCTAGATCAATTTCTTCAGTAATTCCAGCTCTGTCAACTTTATTAACTATTCCTCTATTGCTGGTACCATAGGCTCTTCCAATGCTGAGCGTACAAAAGTCATGCTGCTACAGGTATTATTATATATAACAATAAGTAAAGTACTTTTTCAGCACTATTGTAACTGCAAATGGTAGTTAAATGAGGCAGTTGCTAAATTAGGGCTGTATAGTTCTATAATAAGTATCCATTGCCTTGATTACATATTATTCATTTTATAAGATCTTTTTTGATTCAATTGGAATTATTAATGTTATTGAAATAGCATCCACAGTAAACCACAATGATACCATGCACACAATGGCATAATCGTGCAAATACCACAATAAATTGCAACAGGAAATATGATACACATGTCATCATTCCCATCTCAAGTGTCCATAATCTTCTGTTTCTTCATGTTGCTTTCTGGGATTGATATCTTTCAATTTTTAATAGAACATTTTATAAATCATAGGTACTTGGTTGGGAAAAATACATAGACATCAGGGGGCTCTAGGTGATATATAGGCTGAAAATGATACTTTAAAGACAATTTACCTTCATGTTCGCAATCCTATAATGACAGCCCAGTGCCAACTCCAGGCCTCCTCCGAAAGCTATGTCTTCAATAGCAGCCACAAATGGTTTTTCACTCTTCTCTATAAGAGCAACTACAGACTCCATACTCACCGTATCTTTTTGAATACCAACAGAAAATCCTTTGATATCAGCACCTTAAAAAAGTGAACAAAATTCTGAGAATCCATGATTGCTTCAAGTAACCACCCCATTAAAGCCTTGTGCTAATTAACATAGAACCAAAATGTATTGAAGATTTACATAGTTCAAATAGGAAAGGTAATTTTGATTTAATATAAGATTCTGGTTAGTACTAGACTCTCTGCTTATAAAAACCAATGGAATGCAAGCAGCAACATTTTTCAACATTTTTTCCTGCTTGCACGTATTTCATATTTCCCATAAATCTGCTATGAAAATTTGAGAAGAGAGTAAAGTGCTCAAGAAAAGATTGGGGTTCATTGAGAGAAAATTGCTCAAAATTAATGAAAAGAAGGGCCAGGGGTGACATGATAGCAATGTTCCGATATCTCAGGGGCTGCCACAAAGAAGAAGGAATCAAGCTATTCTCCAAAGTACCTGAGGGCAGGACAAGAAGCAATTGATGGAAACTAATCAAGGAGAGTAGCAAGCTAGAACTAAGAAGAGATTTCCTGACAGTTAGAACAATTAATCAGTGGAACAACTTGCCTCCAGAAGTTGTGAATGCTTCAACACTGGAAGTTTTAAAGAAGAGATTGGACAACCATTTGTCTGAAATGGTATTGGGTTTCCTGGCCAAGCAGGGGTTTGGACTAGAAGACCTCCAAGGTCCCTTCCAACTCTGTTTTTCTATTCTATTACCTCCCTTCAGATTATCCTGAAGGAAGCCTCCTGCTGGCTGAGGAATGCTAAGTAGATTCTACAATGTCCCTAAGGTGCTTTTTCAAGCAGCAACTGGACTTTTTTGTTTTTATTTTAATATTTCTTTGAATTAAAAGAAAAACAAGAAAGTCAGGTTGCCTCTTAAAAAAGCACCTTTGGGACAACTATGACCTGGATGACCGAGAATCTCCATAAACATTTAGATTCTATAATCTATGTGTATCTATGTGTATAAAATTACTTCCTGGAACCTTTTGAGGGTAGATAAAACCATTATACCATAATAGCTATCATGACAGATTTCTCATAATCTTCTAGTTGAAGCAGAGAGAATAGCTTGATTCCTTCTTCTTTGTGTCCTGCCCTCAGGTACTTTGGAGAATCTACAAGTGGGGCAGGATAACACTAATGGTGTAAGTCTCATTGCAGGATTTTTTTTTTATTCTCTTGAATGATTTGTCCACCCCTCTTTTTATGCCCTATCTGGGTATCTCTCAAATCTAAGAGAAGCTTATGGGAAAATACCAGGCAGAAATAGCCCTAGACGGGAGAAGAAAAGATTTTGTCATATTTGCACAATAAGTTAAATTCTCTACAACTCAGATCAAATCAAAGATAAAACATAACCTCAGCACTGTACAATATATATCATATTTTGCAGTGCGAAAAAGCAGGACTTTGAGAAAGAATGTGGGAAGGCTGAGAACGGAAGTGAAATTTGACTTCAAATGAGGAAATAAAGGGTGACCTTTTTGTAGACAGCAACTCAGCCAAGGTAAGAAGAAATCTGAGAAGGATTTTGAGTAATTGAAAGAGATTTTGCCTTAAATTACTCATGATAAATGTGGCTAAGAAATTCTGATAATTTCCAGAGACTGACATTAGAATACCATACTGAAATCTATGTAATTCTTGCTTTGGGGATCTTGTCCAGTTAATCAACATTTTTACCCAATAAATTTATGAATGTACTTACTGAACAAGGAAAATCCAAAATAACTATGTATAAGGTTGCAAAATAATGTTTAACAAGATTTTTTAAAAAAATAAAAGAGAAGAGAGATATAAATTCTACAAGAATAAATAAATAAGAGAGTTCACGTAAACTCTCATCCACTACATTGTGGTAGAGGTGCAGATGTAGAGCAGTTGAATGAAGAAATTATGAGTGGAATGAACCACACTTCCCAACTCTTTTTTCTGAAGGGAAACAGACTGAAATATTTAATGCCGTTTATCTATAACCACAGAGGATACTATTGTCCAATGTAAATGTAAAGCAGAGAAGAAAATGGAAATGTGTAAATATATGAATTAAAAATTCAACTAAGTGCTCAGGAATATGAGATTCTGAATCATTGGAGCATGACCTAGTCCAGTGATGGCGAACCTTTTTAGCACTGTGTGCCGAAAAGGTTGCATGGAAACATTGCACGTGCATGCTTGCGCTTATTGGGACTGCGCTCCGGAAAAGCCAAACTTCCGGTTCTGGGGGGCATGCACACCGAACAATTAGCTGGCCGCTGTGCATGCACACAGTGATTTTCAGCACTGCTGCGCGTGTGAAGGACAGCTGATAGTCGCCCACGCATGAGCGCTAGAAACCAGGAAGGCAAACAGGCAAGGCCACGTGTGCCAGGTGACATGGCTTTGTGTGCCACTTTGGGGACGTGTGCCATAGGTTTGCCATCACAGACCTAGTCTATAAATCATAATCTTATTGGTTGGGCTGTTTACTGTTAGCTTGTTTGGCAGTTCCTTGAGTGGGGAATTGTTTACTTCTGGACTGTTGGTCATGTGTTAATCTTGATGTTAATTTATGTTCATCTGATTGTTGGTTCCTTTCCTTCCTTCCAGGTCTATAGAGCCTTTGTCCAGGCTCTATAGACCTGGACAAAGATCCAGGTCTATAGAGCCTGTGTCCTGAGCACACTCTTGAACTGCAATGAGTCTTGGACCCTTTACGCACAACAGGAGAGAAAGTTGAACACCTTTCATATGTACTGTCTCCGATGAATTCTTGGCATTACCTGGCAGGACAAAGTTCCAAATAGCGCAGTCTTGGAGTGTGCTGGAATTTCTACATGTATACACTATTGAAACAGTGACGTCTACGCTGGCTGGGGCATGTGATGAGAATGGCTGATGGTCGGATTCCGAAAGATCTCCTGTATGGAGAATTAGTGCAGGGAAAGCGCCTCAGAGGGAGACCACAGCTGCGATATAAGGATATCTGCAAGAGGTACCTAAAGGCCCTGGGAATGGACATTAACAACTGGGAAACCTTGACCTCCGATCGTTCAGCTTGGAGGCTAAAGATGCAGCACGGCCTTCTCCAATTCGAAGAGACACTTGTTCGGCAGGCTGTGGCAAAGAGGCAGTCTCGGAACCAGCAAAATCTGGGGGCTGGGCAGGGGACAGAATGTATCTGTCCTCAGTGTGAAAAGGACTGCCACTCGAATTGGCCCTTTTAGTCACACTAGATGCTGTTTTAGGACCTCTTTCCAGAGCACGATACCATAGTCTCTTGAGACTGAAGTATGACAATGATGATTGTTGGTTGCCGGTGGAAAGATATTCTGGTCTTTTTGTTCGATCATTTATTATAAAAATGAACACTAAGAAGATGGAGACAATGTAAGGCAGCACATTTTATACTGTGAGAGTGAGCATCACACTAGTCCACATTGGAGCCAATCGGCAAGCCATGGTTTTGGTGGGAGAATATTTCAAATGCTTTTGAGGATAGGATATCATGAAGCAAAAACAGCACCAAGCCAAAGAAAAATGTATAGCAATACAAAGTTGATTATAATAGAATTTCAACAAATGCAATTATTGGAACTAGGACATTTAAGCTATAGGCAGTAACATATTTGGAATCAAAATATGATACAGAATTTCTTGGAATCTTTCAAAATCCTTCCTCAACAGTTTTTGAAGAAATATATGATGCTAGAATAAATGAAATAGAAACACTGGCTCCTGCCCTCCTAAATTATTTCTTTTGAAAACTTCAGTAATATTTTGTAACATTGTGCAATTTGCAGAATCCATAGTTGTTTGGATGATTTACCCTAACCTATTTAATTGCAGACATGACAAGTTGTAAAATTTTGTTTGGTGACTTGTCAGGCCTGGTGGGTGTCAAATAGAATTAAAATTCCATTATTTGAATTCTGTATCATTGTTTATATTGTCTCTAATGTGTAGGACTTTGAATATTGCTCAGCAATTATAACAAAAAACTGAATTGAGTGAAAAGTTCTTACCTGCACTGAATTTCCCATTTGCCCCACAAATCACAACAGCTTTCGCAGTGGGGTCAATATTTGCATGTTTTACTTTTTCTTTTAAAGCCCGTAATGTCACATCACTAAAATAAATCAATTATTTACAATGTAAGAAAAAAGATACACCTACCTGAGTGTCAATATAAAAGAAAGAATTCTTCAAGTAATAGTTCAAATAGACTGAGATACAAGACAAAAACTTGGGGAATTACTTCAGCAACAATAATCTGCTTGAAAGATTAATCAATGTTCATAAACAGATTCATTCAAATGTAATACCATAGTTTGACATCTCTTTAAAATGACTTAATTTGTCTAGGTTAAAACAAATCTGGACAACTAGACTTCATCAAACGAATAAAGCAAACAATAATTTATTGCTGCCATTTAGTGGTCATCCAGATTTTTGAAATGTAGATCTAATGTATAGCTTAAATCTTGGGTTCATGATGAGCTTCATATACACTATCTATACAACGGCCTCTTACACTGATCATCATAATATGGTAATAATATATTTATTTTCAACTGTTAGAGTTATTGTAATATCTATGTCATTTTCTATTTACTTCACTTCAAGAACTACTGCAATGTATTCTTTGATATATACTGCAACATCAAAAATTATAACAATTTTTATTTATCTCTCCTTGCCTTTGTTTCAGACCTTTCCCTGCATTCTGATAAGGTCCTGAGTGGCTTAGACTTCTCTTTGCCTTTTGCTAAAAATTGTGTTTTTAAAATAATTCATAATTCTGACACACTGTTAATACATGAAGATTGAGAAGATTAAAATTGCCACTAGAGGTAGCTATAACACTAGCAAGAATTTATCATATATTAAGTGAAAGAATTGAATGAATTTTTCTCTCATTTCCAGGATTAATAGAAACCGAAGGTAACCTCATAATCCAGGCATTTGATGCATGAAAGGTATTGTTCACACATGTTGCAATACCTTTTTCACTGCCTAGTTTGTGCCATTTGAGTTGGCAGAAAACTGCACCAGCATATTTTATTAGCTGTCTGCATTTGTGATTCCTATGTCTTTATTGTATTTTAATTCACTGCAGTCACCTGACTTCCATAAGAAAATCTAACAAAACTCAAAATTGCATTGGATGGTATTGAAATAAGGGAGAAAACCCTATTTTAATACAAATACACTTAAGGATAATTTAAGACAGATTTATACATAGGGTAAGGACAGGATGAAGAAATATGAACATAGAAGAAACAATATATTACTAGACCTGTTTGTGGGTCACTGCAAGTATGCAATCCACATCATCAATTAAACTGTAGTACGTAGGATTCCTAAACTATAATTTATTATTGGTTAATTTATTATTCATGCCTTTTTTTCAGGGCCCTGGAAACTAAAACTGGAATTCAATTTTCATCCTGTCCACAGTAAGTTTGATACCAACTTCATTTAATTATTTTATAATCTTTAAAAAAGCAAAACAAAAGCAAAAGGCCAATTACTGTAAAGACTGGAATATCAGCTATTGATTATGAAACTTTGACAAGCTTTAATATGCTATGTATGTCATCTGACTCCAGACCAATAGGTAATTAACTAAAATTAATTAAATTAAATTAAGTTAATTAATTAAAAATAAGAGCCTCGATAGCACAGTTGTCTAAGCACCCTGTTATTAACACAGCTGCCTGCAAATACTGCTGGTTCAAATCTCTCCAAGGCTCAAGGTTGACTCAGCCTTCCATCCTTTCTAAGGTAGGTAAATTGAGGACCCAGTTTGTGGGGGCAATAAGCTGACTTTGTATAAATATACAAAAGTATGAAAGCTATTGCTTAACGCATTGTAAGTTGCCCTGAGTCTCCGGAGAAGGGCAGCATATAAATCAAATTAAAAAAAAAAAAAGCAGCACATCGTAACTGAGCATTTCATAATGGGATTACTGCTCTGAGTCAGCTGAATAGAATTCAAAGTCTAAAAACACCAAGGTTTAAATATTAACCATAACTCTTTCCATGATAGATTTTTTCCCCTGCATAACCATTTTGTGCCATCAACTGTTTATTCTGAAAGCGGAATTTATATAAATTACCTAATTTTAAAATATAATTATTTTCCACATATTACTTTATCAAGAAAAAACTGAAAGCGCAATACAGGCAATATTCTCCTTTTTAAAATTTATATTTAGTCTATACCAATGAATTGAGTTTATTGTTTTTGCTACTTAAGAAGTAGAATATCAACAGTAGATAAATTCGTTGGAACTGGGCAAAATAGAAATTCATTTTTGTATCTGTAATCTTATGTGTGGTAGCACCAAAGTAACTGCCTATCCATGTATATTCCATAAAACTTTGGGAGCACTAAGTAATAACAGCACTAATCTCTAATCCTAATAACATTTTAAGAAACAAATTTCAGGAAAAAAATGAGATAAAATAAAAGGCAGTTGAATAGGTACAGGATTAAAAAAGAATTATAACTTCTAGATAGGAACTGTTGGAGATCACCACCCTTTTTACATATTCACAGGTAAAATCCATGGAATAATTGCTGTCCTAGTCTAGTTAGGGTTCAGTTTTTGATGATTAGCTGATTAATAATTAATTTACTTGAAATAAACTATTTTTTTTTCTTGGCATCTAAATTGGCTCACATTGGCTGTATTCTCATATTGGGTTGAAGAATCTTAAGTAGGTGGGCCATAATATATACTGTTTTCAATGTTGTTGATGCCCTATTTCAAGTTCAAACTCACTGTGCAACAATGAATTTCCATATTGCCCAACTCTTGACTTAGTTAAACATCAGTTTTGCTATTATGGAAATAGGAAGCCCATGTGATCACTGTATAGGGTGTGAAGCTATGATGTTTTCTCCCATGGTCTTATTTTGGCCTTTGTTTTTGTAGACTTCTTGTAGGTTCTTCAGGGGAAAAACACAGACTTGATTTAAGAATTTACTGACAGGCTTGCCCCTCAGTACGTTTTTCCTTCTCAAATCCAGTGTGCAGCACAGCTTGAATGATTAGTCTTTGGATGTTAGTCCAAAACAAAACAAAAAAAAATATCTGGGCTATAGGTTAGAAGAAGCAAACATTTCTGCACTGTGGCCAAGTAAATTACACTGCTGTGTCAATGTAAACACCAGGAACCAAGCTTGACTGGAAGAAACTTAACACAAAGATAATAGACAAGCACTAAAGATGGTTCCTATGCATTTTTCACGGAATAGATCTACCTGAATCCAAATTGCAAGAGTACTAGTCACCTGGACAATATTTCCTTTGCACACTGCTAGCAAATTCAATGGCACATTGGTTCATCGAGGAAAACACTGAAAATCCATCCCAAATCACAGCTGGGTCTTACTTTATTAAGTCCCATAAAATTAACCCCAAAGTGTGTGCAAGCTTTCACTTCCTCGAGACCTCTTCATGAACAGGATTAATCGCTTCCGTCTAAACAGGCATGGGACTAAGCTGGTAACTTTTCCAGTCTTTCCCCACTGTTACCTGATTGCATTGAGCGGAGGATTACACATTCGAATCACTGCCACTTCAGGAGCTCCTCGCACGTATTCAGCCATAATCTTCGTCAGATCGTTGCCAACAGCAAGAACTACGAATGCTGCAAACTTATTCGGGCAATAGGGGGGCGAGCCAGGGAAAGCAACACCTTCGCAACTCCAGCTGGCGATGGGCGTTGCTGTCTTAGAGCCGCGCGCGCATTAAGAGGGAGGTTCCAACTGGAGCAGGAAATCCTGACCGAAGGCAAGTGCGTGCTTAAGAGCAATCCAAATTCTCTGGCATCGACTTAACGCGGAAATTATTTTAATTTAAATTAAGGCGATCGGCTTGGTTTTATACCGGGGCCGCTTTCTAGCAAGGAGATCTATGGAAAGAACAGTAATGGGGGCTGAAGAATTACAAGATCACTTGTCTGTTCCATTGAAGTCAATGCAAGATACATATAAATAAGAAGTGGAGTGGGATAGAAATGGGGTCATATATCATATGGGTATTTCTTTTGTAAATGCCTTCATATGCCTTTTTTTTATTTATTTAAAAAGATTTTCTAGGATTTTTTTTTTTTTTGGTGATTTCGTGATTTCGGATAATGGTGAAGATCTTAGAGATGTGATTTGCTGGTATATACCTAAATAAACGGACTTAATGGAAATAAAATGATAATATATCTTCTTTAATATGTTTATTATTTCGTCTTTTTTAAAAAAAAGTATTTTGAAGTCATTTTAGGCCATCTCCTAAAAGGCACAGATAAATCATTTAAGATAAATAGCTAGACAAGTTACGGGATGCAGCCTTTGCATTTATGACTGTTCGGACTGAGATGTATTATTTGCATCGGAAAACAATCATTCCAATTATTAATTGCAGTTCAGAACGGCCAACTAACTTCTTCAGACACAGTTTATCAGAACTTACTAGACTGCAAAAGATAAAGTGCAAATCCAATAAGGATCCCTGGATTAAATCACGAAGATCCCGTTCCCTAACAGAAACGGAGATGAGCACCGCCCCCTACAGTTGGCAATGACTAGTGGAGAGACTCTACCTTTTTTGTTCCCTAATAACAGGTATAACAGCTATATAAGGTATTGTTGTGTAGGTGAACATCCTATTGAGTTCAGTGGGTTTATTTGCAACTGAAACACACAAAACAAATGCAGACTTTTTAAAATCACCCAGTTGACTGGAATTAAACAACTGATCAAATTGAACAAGTCACAGAAGGGAACGTCAGCAACTGTTGCTGAGTCCCATTCCACTACATCTTTCTTATCAAGTAGAGGCCCAAAATGCACCAAAATAAGTGATTTGGCTCCTAAGTGACACTAAAACTTATGAGTATGAGTGGAAAGGGGAAGCCACATAGGTAAATGCTTAATATTTTTCTCAATAATATGAAAATCGGTAATGAGGAATCAAAACACCTCTGACTCAACACTTCCCTTTTCTACATTTAAGGATTTTTGTTTTCAAATACCAACTCAGGCAATGAGGTACAGTATTATAATGGTAGCAACCTTTTGTCTTGGAGGACAAGAAAGCATCTTTTGCAGTCCCAAAGGTGCTTTTTTTCAGGAGGCAACTAGACTTTGTTTTTTTCTTTTGAAGATGTTTTGCTTCTCATCCAAGAAGCTTCTTCAGCTCTGACAGGATAGTGGGGAATGGAAGGATTTATATTCCTTGCAGACAGCTGTTAATTTTATTTTAATAATAAATTAAATAAATTACCAGCTGTCTGCAAGGTGTAGGAAGTTAGCATCCACCCCTCTCCTAGAAGAATGAAATATTTTGGGAAATATTAAAAAGGCAGAATATTGTATTTTCCTGGTTGAGAAATGGAGAAACGTTTTAAAGACAAAGCAGCTCCCACCTTCCCTCCCCCCCCCCCCCTTTGTCAATGGGCCAGAGGCAGAAACTCAATTCCCTCCCATCTTTGTCAATGGACCATCATCTGCAACACAATAGGACCCATCTAGCAACAGAAACTCACCACATGGCACCTGGGAAGATTACATCAGCCAGCAAGGCTAGCTAAGACCCCCACCCGCTGGGAGTCTGACAACCGATCAGGATACTCTTTCTGGGCCCCAGGAAGGTTCAAAGCCAGAGAGGGCATAAAACCCGGGGACTCACTGCATCTCACCCCTTTTCTGTTCAGGAACTCAAGCCATGTGATCCTGTCCACCATTAAAGCATCTTTCCAAGCAGTCTCGGTGTTTCCAGTGTCTTTTTCCCCACTTGGAGCTGAACCCAGAAGGATAATTCTTCCTACAAAGGAATATAAATCCTTCCATTCCCCACTATCCTGTCAGAGCTGAAGAAGCTTCTTGGATGAGAAGTGAAATGTCTTCAAAAGAAAAATCAAGAAAATCCAGTTGCCTCCTGGAAAAAGCACCTTTGAGACAACCATGACCTGGATGACTGAGAATCTCTACAGATCTTTTGCATTGGTTCATGAGACTAGGAGGTGGTCTTGGTTTCATTTAAGCCAGTGTTTCTCAACCTTGGAAGCTTGAAGATGGGTGGACTTCAACTCCCAGAATCCCCCAGCTGGCTGGGGGATTCTGGGAGTTGAAGTCCACCCATCTTCAAGCTTCCAAGGTTGAGAAACACTGATTTAAACGAATGTGTCACCACGGTTACAGTGAAGAGACTGCCGGGCTTGGCATTGCGTTAACAGTGATTCAATGCAAACACTTCAAGCCTCAATTCCACCCCTCGCCAAGGATCACAACACTCCTGTAACCTTAGCTACGGGGTGAGGGCATAGCCGGAAGTACATTTATCCAAAGCGAATTTATAGGAGGCAGCGCAGGAGCTGTATTCTTTTCTGTCAGGTGATGCCGGAAGTGACGCAATATTGACGGCCCGGCAGGTGGGAGGAGGACCAATGGCCGACGGTGGCCGATTTAAGACGGCGTTCAGGCGGTAAGTAACGGGCGCCGCGTAATGAGCCCTTCGGGAACGCGCGTCTCTCTTGTTATGGCCGAGGCTCGGCGGCTTCCGTTCGCGTGGGCATCGGGTGGCACTTCGGGATATTCAGGGCTACCTGCGCTGTTTTTTTTTGTTTTTTTTTTTTTTTAGCTTTGCTGTGTCTTGTTGGCCAAAGGAGTGTTTTCACCTTTGACATGGATACCTGGCTACGTGGTAGGGGCAGGATCGCCGTAGTCATTGCAGCACCGGCTCTGCAGATTCGCACCATCAGAGGCGCACATCACCTGTGTCCATTATTGATCAGGCAGAAACTAAAGCATGTTTGCAACATTAGTTTTTGTTTGCACAGTTAGGAATCTTTATTGGAAAGGGGTCATGCCCGTCTTCTACTGATGGGGCGGGAGGTAGAGGGGTGATGATACTTGAGAATAAAAATGTTATAAAACCGGGCACATCCCACACTATGTTACTCTGTAGCATAACTATCTTAACCCCTTTTTTTGGGACGGTGTAGTTCAAACTGTGGAGTGATAGGTTCTACTAAGTCTGGAATGCTCTACCTGATCCAGTTGTCTCAGGTACAAATTTTCACAGTTTCAGTCACAAATTGATTTCTGTAGACCTTACTTCATACTTAAGTGGTCAGTAGAGGGGGCGTGCATAAGTCCACTAACATGCCTATCGTCCCTGTCATTGTATTTTTTTTTTCTTTTATTCTTGTTCTCGTTTTTGTTTGACAAATTCTAATAAATAAAATAGATCCAACCTAGAAAAAGTTTCAGTGGGGCTAATTCCTAGGTAAGTATGCAGAAGGTTGTTTTATCAGCTGAATAAAATACATGCTAGTGATAACTCCATTTAAACATCCTTGTTCTACAAAACTGGGATGTGAAGGAATAATAGCACTACTCCCTAGCAGTAATAGCTTTATAACACACATTCCTCCAAGGCAAAAGTAAGATAAAACATGGGCATGTAGGAGTAAGAAACTTTGTTGATTAATAGTTTTGTTGTAATAGCACATGATTTGATCTTTGTATATGAATTAGCCCACATTAGCTGTATTCTCACAGTTCTAACAAGACCTATGTTAAAGAAATCCAGGATTTTGTCTATGTTTGACATGAAACCTGGGGCAAAAATAAATGAATTGATTATAAGTAATGAGATTACTTATGGTATTGTGCATTTTTTCACTGCCTGGGTTTTTTTTTTCTATTGTGCGTGAATACCTAAACTAGATAAAGAACATGGTTATGTCTGAAATGGAGTACTACTGTAAAAGGGAAGCTAGCATTTTTAATATCATAGGAAGGCACAAAAAGTTCTATCAAGCATTTGTATAGTCCACTGACACTGTATTTTGGAAGTGATGCAAATATAATGACTACCCAAATAAGTGATAACTAAAAACTTTCAAATAGTGCCTATAGATTGTACCTCATCTCTGGAACACTTTGTAACACTTTTTCCAGTATGCCTTGCAAAAACAGAAGTAACATTATAAAATGAGAATGCCTTTCTAATTAGTTCTGATCCTGAACTCATCTATTATACTTTTAAAGGAAACCTTTGTCTTGAATTAATTTATACAATTTTAAATGCTAACAAATATATTCCTTATGCCTTGGCAAAAGGGAAGAATATATTATTTATATGCTATATTTTCTGTTATATAATTATTTTAGATCTTCTGTTCAGAAGATCTAAAATAATTAACACACAACACTAAGCTAGAAATTCTGTTTTGTTTAAAGTTCTCAACCAAGTAAGAAAATGATTTTTTGTCAATATATATAATGGTTATATTGTTTACAGCTGAACCTGAAATCTTGATTTATTCTTAGTTTAAGTCTTTTCCTAAATTGGAGAAGTGTGCTGCATAAGCTGTTAAAGAAAGCATTCAGCTAAATTACAGTTTCTTGCTTCTTTTCCCAATTCCTTATTCTCTTGCCAGTAGTTCATGACTTGACTTTCTTTACTGAGTCATGACTTCCAAACTTAAATATTGTCTTCATAAAGTATAACAAAAATAGTTATTGTAGAAAACAAATAATAGTGGTCAGAAAAGTACACTCAGGAAAAATATATCCTATGAAAAAATCCCACAAGCACATCCATTGACCCACGAATAACATAGTACTGAGATGGCGAACCTATGGCACATGTGCCTGAAGTGGCACACAGAGCCCTCTCTGTTGGCATGTGCGCCGTTCCCCCAG